CTTGTTATTCCACTTCGTCTGTTTTGGAGCTAACTTGTGCAGAGGAGAAGATGTTTTTAAGTTTTATATATATATTGCTATACCTTTAAATTCAAGAAAATATGGTTGTATTGTATTTAAAGAAGCGTGAATTTGTAGAATAGGTTGAATGTGAGGAATGAGTCAAATAAGACTCACAATGGCTTGTTTTCTACATTTATTTTACAATAAAACTACATATCATTTGAAAAGTTAATATGAAAATACAGAATTTCAATGCTTCTACAAATTATCTACAAAATTTCTACAAACTGTTCATAACAGAATTTATCTTTATTTTCATGCATGTTTGTTTGGAACACTAAAGTTACTTGATATGCCAATATCTCCCGTTATAGAGGACTACAACTTATCTACAATTTTCTACAACTTTCACACATTATTTTCACCCAGTGAAATACAACTACAATAACATAAAATTTGAGCTTTGTGTTTTTGTGTTAAAAGTTTTGATGGGAGCTTGTTATTCCACTTCGTCTGTTTTGGAGCTAACTTGTGCAGAGGAGAAGATGTTTTTAAGTTTTATATATATATTGCTATACCTTTAAATTCAAGAAAATATGGTTGTATTGTATTTAAAGAAGCGTGAATTTGTAGAATAGGTTGAATGTGAGGAATGAGTCAAATAAGACTCACAATGGCTTGTTTTCTACATTTATTTTACAATAAAACTACATATCATTTGAAAAGTTAATATGAAAATACAGAATTTCAATGCTTCTACAAATTATCTACAAAATTTCTACAAACTGTTCATAACAGAATTTATCTTTATTTTCATGCATGTTTGTTTGGAACACTAAAGTTACTTGATATGCCAATATCTCCCGTTATAGAGGACTACAACTTATCTACAATTTTCTACAACTTTCACACATTATTTTCACCCAGTGAAATACAACTACAATAACATAAAACTTACATACAAATTTTATACAATATGTCTTTGTATATTTTGTATCTGATTTATACATAGTAAAAATAATTTTCATACAACTAATTATATATTATACAACTTATCTACAATTTTCGTACATTATTTCTACTAAGTTATATACAACTACAATATAATATCACTTAAATATAATTTTTATACAATGTTGTTCAACTTTCATACAATATGTAAATGAATAAAAGAAAAATAAATAAACAACAGTCTACAATTTCTGCAATATAATGTATGTCATATCTTTTTCTTTTTCTTCTTCGAGTTTCAATCCGAAATTCAGCCAAAACCAAGTCTAATCTTCACCAAAGTCCCTCAAAATTGAGATATAAACTCTAAACCATATTCCTAATTATTTTCAACAACACCCAATCCAAACAAATAATGATTTTTGAAAAGCCAAATTTGAATTTAAAGCTTCAAAGCTTTTTAATAGCTGTCAACGGTGGAATTGCTACTCTCTTTTCCTTTGCTTTGTATTACTGAAATTTGGACATAATTGCGTTTGTTGCAGAAGAATTGTAGAAGATTTAGTCGTCTTTGATTTGTGAAATCAGAAAAAAGATTGAAACAGAGTGTATCGCAAAACAGAGTATGAAAAATTTGGAACGAATCCGACGATAATTATGAATGTGCGTGATTTGCATTGTAGAAGATCTGGAAGTATTTAATTTCCCAATTTTAGCGCTCCTAAATAAGGAAACCTATAGCTACAATAATTTCTTATTTAATGAATTGTCTATATTTGTAGAAATATTATTAGCATGATAGGTAATATGCAAACTACGAACATATTTGGTAATATAATTTTCTATATGGTATAGAAACGAAAATTTTCCAAAGCAAAATGGGCGGAGAGCTTGCCAAGAGGTGTTCTAGCATGTCACATGACTTTACTTTATCTGTTTCAATTTACGTCGCGTATTATATAGTTTGTGTATTATAAAAATTTTAAAATTTGTGGCTTTAAACATGTCATAATATCTCTGTATGATTGTAAAGCTTTTCATTAAAGGTAAATGAAGAAGTATAAAGTTAATTGTTTTCGGTGTATATCATTCTTTTCGAAACAGACTAATAAGAACGTAATGTTACATAAACCAAGCAGGTGGAATATTAACTTTCTCTTGTATTAGGTTTCTCAGCCATTTTATTCTTTCTGATTCTTACTCATTACAAAATTTACAATGATGTAGTTGTGGGCAGGCTTTACCGTTATGATTAAAAGCACTGCCGTTAGAAGAGTCCCTCTGCAGTTGCAATCAGTTCTCTAGCCTCTGGTTTTAAAGAAAATCTGCGAAAGAAACTACTCAAACTTTAGTTTCCTATTATGATTGATATATTTTATGACAATTATTATAGGTTAGGCGTGACTTTAGTCATGAGGATGAGAGATTCAGCATTTAAACTACTTAACGTATTATAGTAGTATAGTCGTGACAATAAACTTGAACCCATTCCTAATATTCTAGGTTGGCCTCTATCAGCATGAGCCATTTTCCGTAGCCATGGACGAATTTTTCCGATCATCAGCAACTTCTTCTTGATTGCAGGCTAACATATGTGCTTTTTTAGCTTCTCCAACCCAATCAATTCTAGCAACAAACACCAACAACAAGGCCAAGCAAATAACTACTCCAACCATAAACCCTGTTAACAGACCTACAAGCCCAAGATGAACTTTGAATGCCAAAATTACTCCCAACGGCAAGGCCAACAAGTAAAATCCACCGATATTAGCGTATATCCCTAGCCAAGGCCGTGCTGTTCCACGAACAATTCCTCCACAAACTGCTAAAGGAAAGTTAACAACTACAATTAACGCCATTAGCAACATGATCTTCTTCACTCCTCTTATTATCCCTTTGTCATGACTAAACAAAGGACCCCGAATTCCTCTTGCCCATGCCATTACAGAGCCACCTAGAAACCCAAAAATAATACTCAAGCCTAATGACACATATGCTGCCCGGTAAGCAGGGGCAGGACTATCTGCCCCGAGCTCGTTGGATACGTGAACGGACGCACATGTCGCGAGCGAGAGCATAACAGAGAAGAGCAAATAATCAAAGTTCAATACAATGGCTATAATCCCAACTGCTTGTTTAGCATTAGGGAGACGCCCTGTGAACAAAACCAATATCTCATAACACCACCATTCAAGACAAGTAGTAAGACAACATGGTCCACAGAGTTTAAGCAATCTGACCCAATCAAGAATCCCCTGTTCCCACCAGCCTCCTTCTTTCCATTCCCCTCCCTTTCTATTCTCTACTATCATTACATAAATAGCCAAAAGAATCATGATTATTAAGTCTGTTATCCAATATGCCATGGAAATTACTTCTAGCCCTTTAGTCAATGAAAGTAACATAGTAATCGGTATATGCAGAGCAACAGCTAGAGTTGAGCTTAACATAATTGGTATTGTAACATTTTGGGTGCTCAAGTAAGCCTTTAGTGGACACAAAAATGATGTGACTGCTAAATCAGGGAGGAGATAAATTAGATATTTCTTAGCTACCGTAGAAATGTCATTTTGCTGGCCACATGTTATGAGGATTTTGTCCACGTTAAGCCACAAGAAAGAGATAGGAATTGAGACAAGTAGTAAAAAAGAAGTTGACATGACAAGGGTCTTGTGAAGTAACTTATGATTCTTGGCTCCAAATGCTTGTCCACAAATAGGTTCCATAGCACCACTGAGACCGTTTAAGACTGAGAATCCTGTCACGTTTGCGAAGGTAAAACTCAACTTGGCTCCTGCTAACGAAAGATCTCCGAGCCTCAGGGCGTACGCAAATTTTTTCGTAAGCGGTGTCGACAATTTTAAAAAGTGAATAAATAAACAAATATAACAGTGATGCTATATTAAAAAAAATAAAAAAGATTCAATATATATCAATAAAATGCAATATATTACAATATTATAATTTTTCTTGACGAGTTTTTACTTTTTGAAAATTATTCATAAAGCGTCATAGTACTATTTTTATTTTATATATATAAGGCATCACACAATCACTCATATTTAAATAAATTTCAAGGAACTTAAAATTTCTTTCACTGCGTAGATGTGATTCGCCTCATTGATTCTTTCTTCCAAGTTAAATGAATCTCAGATGATAAACTTGCTTAATTTTGAAAGCTTAAAAGATGTTATCTTCCAGAAAAAGTAAAGGAAAGAAAAAAAATAGCAAAACATATACAAGCTGCTGAGCTTCGAACCCCTTACCTACCGTTCAAACTTAGCTTCTTAGCCATTGAACCAAGACGCACTTCTTCGCAATAACGTTCGTTTTGTTTTTATAATGGATATTTATAATATTAAAAATTTAATAAAATATATATTTAATTAGATTTTTCGACGAGGTGCACAAAGGTGCATCTGCCCCTGCCGAGAAATGCAGTTGTGGCGGCTGTTTTTGCAAACCATGTGAAGTTCATAGCTGTGACGACCCGGCCAGTTGTCTCATGAGTTACGGCTCCGTTTTCCCCATTTCTGCTTTTTTATGCTTCGTTATCTATGTTTTATGGTATCGGGTTAGTCGGATCGAATCCAGAATGATTTTGGTAAGGTTTGAGACACTTAGTCTCTTTTAAGGAAGTTTGAGTTGGAAAAGTAAACCGGATGTTGACTCATGTGTTAGAGGGCTCAGATGCGAGTTCCGATGGTTCGGTTAGCTTCAAGAGGTGATTTATGGCTTAGGAGTGTGATCGGAATGGGTTTTGGAGGGTTGGAGTAGTTTTAGGCTTGAATTGGCGAAATTGATATTTTTCCTATTTCCGGTTGATAGGCTTGAATCTGATGTGTTTTGTGTGATTTGATGTTGTTTGAGGTGTTTTGGTGATTGGAACAAGTTCGAATAAGGTTTTAGGATATATTGGTGCCTTTGGTTGAGGTCCCAGGGGCCTCGGGTGAGTTTCGGGTGGTCTATCGGATCATTTTTGGAGTTAGGAAATTGCAAAAAATCTGTTCAACTATTGCAGAGATTTTACCCTTCGCATACGCGAGTGGAGCCTCACATTTGCGAAGAGGCAATTGAGGGAGGCAAGAATTAAGCCTTCGCATTCGCGAGAAGGGCTTCGTGTTCGCGGAGGGTTGGGAAGTGGTGCATCGCGTTCGCGAGAAGGTCTTCGCGGTCGCGTAGAGGAATTTGGGTCAGATGAGTTCGAGCTCAAGTGTTCATCATGTTCGCGGAAGGATGAGCGCGTTCGCAAAGGGTAAGGTAGAGGAAGCATCGCATTCGCGATGGTCATGTCGCGTTCGCATAGAGGAAAAGCTGGTCAAAGTAAGTTTGTGCTTCGCGAACGCGAGGGTTTGACCGCGTTTGCGAAGAGGAAAATATGCCTGGGCAGAAATGTTTTTAAACTCGTCTTGTCCGCAAGGATTGGGTTTATTTCTTCCATAGTTGGTCATTTTGGGAGATCTTTGAAGGAGATTGAAGAGGGATTCAAGGGGAATCGTTGAGAGGTAAGATTTTTGGACTTAAAACTTGATTATTATGTGAATTTCACCTAGAAAATCATAGAATCTAAGCCTAAAATTGAAGAACTAGGGCTTAAAATTAGAGACCAAACATTTGGGATTTGAAGGGTCATTTGTGGATGGAATTTGATGTTTTGGTATATATGAACTCGTGGGGAGATAAGGAATCCGTTGATGTGAAAATTTTCGAATTTCGAGACGTGGGCCTGGGGGTCAAGTTTTGGTAATTTCGGGATTTGTGGCCTTTGTTGATTGTTTTCGCTTGGGCTTTGTTCCCTTAACATATGTTGACGTACTCGTTTTGATTTTAGATAGATTCGACGCACGTGGAGGCCGATTCGAGGGGCAAAGGCGTCGCGAGCTAGAGATTTAGCCGGTTCGAGGTGAGTAATGATTGTAAATGATGCTCTGAGGGTTTGAAACCCCGAATTGCACATCGTAGTGCTATATTAAGGTGAGGCACATGCTTGATGACGAGCGTGGGGTCGTGCACTATTGGGGATTGTGACTTGGTCCGTCCTGGTTGATGGTTTTACCGCGTATTTGATTGAAAACTATTTGATATCATCATTATTTGGGCTGAATGTCATATTTGGGCTTAGTGCCAACTATTTGAACCCTTCGGGAATTTTTATTGATATTTCCTCACTGTTTTGACTTTATACTTGAACTCAGTCATGTTATTTTCCACTATTTTACTACTCAGCCATGTTTACTCAGTTTTAATACTTAAATGATATTTTAAATGATGTTTGGGCTGAGAAACATCATTTTACTATTGCCCGAGAGGCTCGTGATGATTTTTGACTGAGTAAGGTCGAGGGCCTACGTTGTAAGGCAACACTGATATGAGGCCGAGGGCCTGAGATATGTATACCACGAGGTGGCTTGATTGATATGAGGCCGAGGGCCTAGTTTGATGCCACGAGATGACTTGTTATTGCGCTTGGGCCGTAATGGGCCCCTCCCGGAGTCTGCACACCAGCAGTGAGGGCGGTTACCCATTATGATATGAGATTGAGCCCGAGGGGCTGGCATTATTCTGAGATATTGCCCGAGGGCGGATTTGTTGATACTGTGCCCGAAGGGCAAACTTCTATTTGTTTACTTTACCTTAATTACCTGTCAATTACTTATTTACTTGTTTAAAGAGGATTTACTTGACTTTTCACTGTTTTTCTATGTTTAAATGGTTTAATGCTTCATTATAGAATGTCTTGTGCCTTACGTGTTTTCTTACTTTCAGTCGTTATTTACATTTGTTACTCACTGAGTTAGAGTACTCACTTTACTCCCTGCACCCCTGTGTGTAGATTCAGGCATAGCTGGTTCCGCTCCCGAGTGTTGATTCCTCCAGCTTCAGACGGGCTTCAGAGATTACGAGGTAGTTGTTGACGTTCGCAGCCCCATGTCTCTACTCCTTTGTCGCTTCTATTTCCCTTCAGACAGTTGTACTAGTTATGTATTTAGCAGAATTGTATTATGACTTATAGATGCTCATGACTAGTGACATCCCGGTTAGGGCTGTGTATGGGTGTTCTTCCGCGTATTTATGTTATCATTGTTATTTCGGATTTATTTTATCATGATTTGACCGTTTCTTAAATGCTTAATTGTTAATAATTGAAAAATAGGAAGTGTCGGCTGGCTTGTCTTCACGAGAGACACCATCACGACCGGGTCCGGGTTTGGGTCGTGACAATAGCCATCAGAGGGAGTACTATTCCTCTTTGCAATTTCATTTCTAAAAGGGTATTTTCTATGAGATTTTCTGACCATTTTTTGGTCATTGCTTCAGGGATGGTAGTTATTTGCCAGATACTGGTGGAGTTCTTTATGTTTTAGTGATTTCTTACTTGAAAATAGAGGGCTTGTGTTGCGACCAAAACACTCACGCAAGTGTACGCGATCGACAAGTAATATAGTAGTGAGTAGAGTATCGTTCCCACGAGGAATTGTGATCAACTTCTCGACTGATGTAGACTCAAACAATTATCAATTTATGCTATATTATTACAAAATATTTAAAGAACAAATTTACAACTTACTTAATAATTGCACAATAATTCAATGCAAAATTACTACACCAATTCCACAATATGTTTATACCAATTTGGATAAATATATTCCCAGGTCATGGACTTGCTAGAAATTATGCTACTATTTTAGCTTAAGATGGATTTATTGAATTATCCGGGTTATTAATTATAAGGTTAATAATATTCATAAGAATCTTTCGAGTTCTTATGTATCTATTCAAGTTAAACTAATACCTATATGTCTATGGTATTAATATTAGCAAGAATGCATTTACAACTCCTATTTTTCAACCAA